AGTTTTCCATATTGGGGTGACAGTGCCCCATATTGAGGTGATGCTGCTCCAGATTGGATGATGGTGCCCCAGGTTGGGATGATGGCACTCCTGGTTGATATGCTGGCAGCCTGTATGGAGGGGATGGTGACCCAGGCTGACGGGGTGGTTCCCCAGGTTAAGGTGAGCCACCCTAAGGTGATGGTGCCCCATGTTAAGACAACAGGACCACAGGTTGAGGTGATGGGGCCCTACATTATAGTGCCAGGGCTGCAGCACCGGGCAATGTATCCTGAGGAAATGGAGAGGGGAAACTAATCTGAAGGGCTTCTAGGGACATCTGATCCAAATATTTGTGGTTGGATCTGGACCTTTCCCCAAGTGAACCTGATCTCAGCATCCTTGAATTTCAGTATAATTGCTGTAGAAACATGGATAGAACCTTCAGGCAGTTTCTTTTCTTCTGCCGCTGACTAGGTAAGTGGTGGGTACCTACTAGTGATCTCCCACTGGGAAGGAGAAGCATCCTATGTAAGGATGGGAATGGTTCCAGCTCTTTCAAAGGGTTCAGTTGCAATAGCAGACCTTGGCATTTCTTTAATGACAGCAATGTTACTTTTTAACAAAGTGGGAGAGAATTCTGTGAAAAGAAAGATTTCCAGATTATTGATCCACATATTCAAAACTCAAAATTCAACTTTACTTTGGCCCCGTTGTTCATCATGAAATAGATTTAATGACACAATCACGTTTTTTGCTGAGCATACTAAATTTTGAGCTAAATCAGGGCTGTGCAGGCAAGTCAACTGTTATGTATATTGCCCTATTTCACTTGGCACATGAACACACACACACACAGAGGCACATATGTATGTACGTATATACACACACATATTTTTAAATATATATATGTACCAAATGTGTCAGAACACTACAAGAGAAGAAAGAAATCTCTTGAGTAAAACAACTGAACGTGCCTATGTTAACCAGAGTCAAGTTCTACTTGTGCTACGTGGTGTTTAATGAAGGTTCTGCAAATTATGTAGACTAAATTTTTATACTTGGTCGTGTGTTTCATTCTTATTTTTCTGGCACCTGACTCAGTTTACTGTTGAAATGTTTAATAATGACACTGCATCTAAAATCAATGGAAGCTGTATTTGGAAAACACTGTGCTACAAAATGCTGAGCCTTTCCTGATCTTACCATGTGAGGTCTTGGGTTACCTCACATAGGACACTAAATGGGTGCCTTCGTCCTTTTTTCCTGTGTGTCAAGTTCCTGCCTGCAAATATTCAAAATACAATGCCACTGTCTCAAAAAGGTGTAGCAAAAAATAAAATCAGTTAATATTAATGTAACTCACATATTCTGTACATTTAAGATACTGAGAAGTATAACATACCATCTCCATTTCTCTTTCTCTGTTAGCTAGGATTCCTATGATTGCTTCTAACAGTGTTAGCTATCCAGGTTTACCTGGTTTACCACCAGGTTTTAAAGTTCATGAGCCCTTGTAGGTTTTGTACCCAGAATCTTAGAAATTTCTATAAACTATTAATATGACTGTAACTGCAATGCAGCACCACAGCAGTTATTAAAAAAGCATGTAATTAATTCAAAGTTGTAAGTATGCTAAAAATATAAACCAAGTATGCACTTTATGCACCTTTTTTGCCTATAATGTAAATTTCCATTTAAATTGAGAAGTGGTAACTTGCTAATGTTTATAGCAATGGGATCTGAGCCAGAAAGGCTCACAAAACAGAAAGTAAATGTGAAAAAGTCTATAAGAAAGTAGTCATTTTAAGCTTGCCCAAACATTTTAAAGGTGCAAATTTATTGAAGCGTAAAGTTTGCAGTATTGTGAAGGTGCAAGTTGAAAAATTGTCACTAAAGGCAGCTGTAAAATTGGCTTCAAATTAGTGGGGCTTTGTCTAGGGTATGTTATAAAGAGAAATTATACTCCTGGTTCAGAGGAAAAAGGTGAAGATGCTGACTCTTCCCCCAAACCAGACATAATTTCCATTTTAAAACAAGATTATAATTGTCTTATCTTTGTAGGAAAGATATTTGCTCTAATGCTTGAATAAGGTAGAGTTTGAATCTCTTTTCTCATAAACTGGTTCCATGACTGGTTAAATAGTTACAGAAAGACAATACAATAACCCCCAGTTCAGAAAATTGACCTCTGAAGTCCTTCTGTCTCACATAGAAAACTAATTTTTAAAGTACAAAAAGGGAAGTTCAAATAACACAGAGGTAAACTTGAAAATTGCCATTAACTTCAGTGGAGCTAGGATGTCATCTAAAATATTAGGAATTGTAGCTCAGGTTGAAAAGTCATAGAATCTTATTAAAAACTAAAAGAAAAAGAACCAAATCTTCTTCCAGCTCTATGGATACACACTTGAATTGATTTAGACATATCTAATTCAGGGTATGATGTGTAAATCCTAGCTAAAATTGGTGGGATTACTCACTCAGACAAGAACTGGTTTTGTGCATAAGCACTGCAGGGCTAAACCGTAATTGCAGGTAGGTTTTTTTTTTTTGTTATTTTCCTCTCCACTTCTGAGAATTAATACTGTAATAAGAAAATAATCTCTGTTTACACAGGACTAACAACATTACATGCTCTGCTTCAGGTTAATTTTAAAATTCAATTCCTTTAAGTAGCTCTGACAGAGGCCCTGGCAGTTTCCTGAATGCATTTGCAGTAGAAGGTCTCTGTCTAGTTCCTTGTGTGGATCTTTATTAAGATCCCAGAATAGACCTTGAACTCAGTCCAAAGCCCTGTATATTCTGAAATCTTTGATGGATAAAGCGTGTGCTGGGAGATGGATCTTTGCTTTCTGTTGTCTACCTGATGAGAATAAAATAATGTTATAGGAAACCTTCTAGCATGTTGGACCTTATCCAAAAGCTTTCAGACTCTGCAAGAATCTCTCTGTCGGTCTTAATGATCAGATGTATTGCAAGAACCCTGTTCCCAAAGCTCTTCAGTGAAGCATCAGGATGTTTTGCCACAAGGTAATTCGCTAGGAAGGGACTGCCATTGCAGCAGTACTTTCACTTTTAGGCTATGATGATTTTCACCTTCAACCACTTAGAGACATTACTTAAATAATCAATTTTGGACACTGCGAATGGTCTGAGCTAGTATTTAAAAGGATTTTGTGCAATTTAATATCCACTAAATAGAACAAACTGTAATAAAATTATATTTAAGTTACTGTAAGGACTTTGGGTCAAAGTAAGGAGAAGTGTATCTTTTGATCAGCGACCAAGAGGGGAGCTAAAATCCCTTCATAACTACTTTGGGATTTTGAGAGGAAATACATTGCTATACAAACCTCTATTACACACAAGCAGGTATATATGCAGACAATTTTGCTTTGAGCCAGACCAGACCACCGCACATTGGTTAGTTAGGTGAGTTAGGTTAGAACTAGCTTAGAAAATACTGTGATGGAGTAAAACATTAGTTGTAACTCAGAATTCTGACTAGCTGCATGCCTCTTCTGTGCCCATTTCCATTATAGTTCTGCACCATGAGCTGATACCCAACTTCCCTGTTACAAGTGCCATGCTTGGGCTGTAACTGAGCCTTGGACACCTGCACTATTCATGCTCAGCGCCCTTGGCTTGCTGAGCATTGTAGAAGCACAGGGAAGTTTGGAGTCTGGTGTTATAAACAGTGCTAGTTGCTCTCTTGAAGTTATACAGAAATGTAACCATTCCCAAGATCAGAGCCTTGATATTGCTTTCTTTCTTCATCAGGCTAGCATTGTTCATTTGACAGAAGCAACTTTTTTACAGAGCGTAAATAAATCTACTCCAACCTCTGCAACAATAGCTGTGTTTAAAAGGTAAGATTCAGGACTATTTTACACTTCACAAGTGACAGAGCAGCGGCAATCTGAAAACTGCTTACCAGAACATTTTTAACTGTAAACACTTCTACAGAGTTTACAGGAACCTGCTCTTAAAATAAAGCCCATGAGTAAATGCTTGTAAATCCTCCTTTGCACAGTCTAGCTTCCGTAAGGAAAGCATTGTCCTTTACTCCTCCTCTGAAGAGATCAAGGCCTCCCACTTGGGCTGTGGTTGGTAGCTGCTACGAACCTGTAGCTGTAACTGTGCCGTGCCTATGGCAAGGCATGTCCTGAGCACAGCTGAAATACAGCAAGGCTTATGCTGTTCCTGGAATTTGTTCTCAGAATCTGCCACAAGCACCTGTAAAACATCAGACCAGCGGAAAGAGCGTGGTGACAGGCTTCCGTTGGGGTAGTGGGGCTGGGTTCTGCAGAATCACTGTTGTACCATTTTGATCGCTGTTCTATCAATCTTTTATTTCTGAAATCCCGTCATATATGGTCTCCTTTGGCTGATGAGAGGAGTGCAGGCAGAGCGGTGCGAACTGCGCTCACTCAGGAGAGGGTCTGGACCTCAGCGGCGTCCCAGGTCACGGCTTTGTCATGAGCTCTGGCCAGGCCTCGGTGCTGCGGTCTGATCACTCAGGCCCCTCTGGGCCGAGCCGCCCCCTGTGTGCCGCAGCCCCCGTGGCGGAGAGGCGCCCGGCAGCATTCCGTGGGGCCCAGCTCCACACCGCAGCCGGCGGGGGTCCCCGCGGGAAGGCTCTCACGCTCCTAGGTTCGTCCGACCCTTCCCGTTTCCTGGGCTGTGCGTGGGGCCGCCTCCAGCCCCAGCACGGCGGAGCCCCGCAGAACACACCACGACACACACCAGAGAAGCCAGACCCGGCCGTGAGGGGGTGCGGCGAGCGCACATGTGCCCGGCCCGCCCGCCCGGTAGGCACCGCCCTCGCCCCCGCCCCCTCACCGGCCGGACTCGGAGCGCCGCGGCGGGGCCTCCCGGGCTGCTGCCACGGACATCGGCTCCCGCCGCCCAGCGCCGGGCAGCGCTGCCGCCAGGAAGCGGCCCGGCCGCCGCGCACCCGCCTGCGGCCGGGCATGAGCTCCGGCTCCCCCGGCGGCCGCAGCGGTGCCAGTGGCGGCGGCGGGCGGCGGAGGAGGCGGCGGCGGAGGAGGAGAGTGGGGGCCCGGGGAGCGGCGACCTTCGCAGGGGGCTGCCGCGGCGGGAGATGCGCTTGCTCCCAGCGGCGCCAGGAGCAGCATGTTCCCCGGTGCCGACAGCGCTAGCAGCACGGCCGGGCAGCCCGAGGCGGCGGGGGCTACCGCCCCCGGCCCGCTGGGCTCGCACGGCCCCGGCGGCGAGACGCGCCGCCGCAGCGCCCCGGCGGCCGCCGCTGTGGCCGGCGGCGGCGAGGAGGAGGCGGCGGAAGACGAGGAGGACGAGGACCCCGGCTCGTCCCGCTTCTTGCTGGCGGCGGGGCTGGGACTGCTGGCCGTGTCTGTCGTCCACCTGGGACAGGAACGGGCCGAGGCGGCGGGCGGCGGGCCGCCGTGCCTGGCGCTGCTGCTGCTCCGCCTCGCCCTCTATGCGGGCTGCGCCGCCGCGGCCGCCGCGCTGGGCACCCTCATCGTCCTGATGTGCCGCGGCCGCCGCCGTCTGCCGCCGCCGGACTTCGCCGCCGCCGCTCCGGTCCGGCGGGTCGCGGGGGTGAGTAGCGGGAGGGGAGCGGAGCAGGCGGCTGCCGCCCTGCCCGCCGGCGGGGAGAGAGGTGGCGCGGCCCTCGCTCCGCCGCGGAGCGCCACGCCACCCAAACCTGGTGTCCTGCTGTCCTCCCGCGGCCGCAGGAGCCTGCTCGCGTTCTGCCCCTCGACGGGGCTTTAAATGGCAAAAGTTGTGCTGGAGGCTAGCACGGGAAAAATCTAGACTTTGCTCTGGGGGAGACCTCCGGATTGCGGGAACGCTTGCACGGCAGTTCGCTGTAGGCTGTCTCAAATCCTTTTCTGCTCCTCCCGTCGAAATGTCATTGGTAAAAGAGCGACTTGCTCAAAGAAGCAGCATAGCGTTGCTTAAGTGCGTGCTCTGAAGTTGGGCAGCTCAGATAGTGTTATCATAGTGCCAGTGTGTACTCAAGCCATTGCAGAGCTCTGTGCAAAAGGGAAACAATTTTATTTTCTGTACATGCTACAAAATGTTCTAATTGATGAGCTCTTTGTACTTCACTGCTCAGTACTTTTTGGTTTCTTCTGAATGGGAGTGGTAGCACAAAGTATTTGGAAACTTTCCTCCCATCCATGCCTCTGTTCCCCATCAAGTGATCCAATGCTTGGGAGCTGATCCTAGACAGGCCTGAAAAATTACTGCTGGAAATGAGGATCTCCTGCAACTCCTGCTTTGCCGTGGGTCACAGGGACGTGGTGTTTAATATCACAGCTGGTGACTATGGTTGGGTGCCCTTGGCCCTTCACTGGTGAGTTTTAGGTGTGTTAGCACGTGAAGTGCTGCCACAGTAGACAGTACTGTGTTAGTGCTATTTCCATTCAGTAGTGTCACACAGGATACCTGAGAGTAGTCTGCAAAGGAGAGGAGCATAATTCGTGCCACCTGGGTGTACAGCCTAGCTGTTCTGATAAGCCAGTTTGTTACATTTAGTACGTGTACTCTTCTTATCAGCAAATAAATAATACTGTCACTTATGTGTTTCTGGGGCTGCAGTTGGTGCAGCTGAATTTGCAGAAAACAGAGGGTGCTGTCAGGGCAGTTAGAAATCATTTGCTGATACAGTTGTTGGTCTTTCTGTTTTTTCAATCAAATCAGCTAACAACCTGCAGTAGTGGTTTATTCTTTCATTCCTTGACCTGTGGAGAGAAAGAGCCTGTGTTTGGGAGGAATATGCATTTCCAGACCTGCATTTAATGAAATCTGGCAGGATATTGTCAGTAGGGATATTTGACCAGGGGCTGGTGACTTCAGTGAGTAATATAACTTGCAACGGTGCATTCAGAATCTATTTGTGGCTGTGTAATACTCATTTTCTCTAATTGGTTGACTTTTCAAAAAATCCTCTTTCCTTTGAAGACTCAACATCATAGTCAGCTTTTTGAAGGGAATGAAGAATAAATAATGTGTATAAGCATTAAAGGTGGGACCTGTTCTGTATGTCATACAGGTAGGGATTGTTTGGCTGGTTTTTGTCATGGGAGTGCTATGGAGCAAATGTGTGTTAAGTGCATAAACACCTTGTAGTAAAGGACTATATGCTTTTGTATTTAACAAAATGAAAAAAACCCACATCTAACCAAATGAAAAAAAAATGCATCAGTTGATCATCAAAACAACAATTCCTGTTGCTTTTAGGTTTATAAGATTAAATGTTTCAGTGTTAATGCCATCTCTCCAGTGACATTTATGCACTGGTACAGTTATCTGAACATATACGTGTGTGTTAATTTACTTTTACGTAGTACCAAAAAAAATCTATATGTAAACTTAGCAATTTAAATCTCCCTGCTGCCACAATGGGGAGAAACTTTCAGGTTCATGAACAGCCAAATAATAAAAATCGATTTAATTTGGGAAGCCAAGATTTGAAGAAAAAAAAAAAGATTTATTGCTCTTTTTCTCCCCTTTTGTGAAAAATGTAATACATAAGCATAGTGAACAGTAGTGAAACTAGAACTGTCCAGAGACAAATACAATCACTTCAGTTACTATACCATCTGCACCTTCTTTTTGTGATATGTTACTGTGCATTTGTCTTGATGTTCTCTTGTGTCCATCCACTGGATTTGTATATGTAAATAGTGCAGATCCACCGTTGCTTTGTTAGTCTTATCTGTTGTGTTTGGATTTATTATAGTTCTGTGGTATGTGTTGTTTCAGAAAGGAAGTGAAATCTGACGTTTAAAATTCACTGCTAAAGCAGCAGTACCTGCTACAACCCTTTTCCCAGGATTGTTTTTTTACCCTCTCTCTGATTCAGTTAAAATTTTTCTTTCCTCCCTCTTTGCACTATTCTCAGAATTTAACCTGGTTGTATAAAAGGGACAGCCAAAAAAGGAGTGAGGTGTTTTACCCTTTCTATTTAGAAGATGTAATTCTAGGCATCTTAATTAGGTTTTTTGTGCTTTCAATTTACAGTTTTGTTAATTTCTTTCTGATACAGAGTGGCTTCAGGACCGCACAGCTTCTTGACAGACTTTTTCTGAACACAATTTTGTATATGTGTAGCAAATTTCCTAATTGGGGCTTCAGCAACATGTAGGTGAAGAAAATAAAATTGTGTAGATAGGCAACATGTAGAAATGAAGGCCATTCACTAAAATGTTTCTTCTAAAGTTTCCTTCATACATTTATCTTTGAAAAATTTGTAGGTTAATCTTTTTATTATACATCCTGTTTCATTTACACTGCTTTCTTATAATTCAGTTGTTACTCTCACGTTTTTCATAGAGCCTTATGATCCTGTTATCTTTTCTGGGAGCCAGTAGTAGGATAACTGTAAAGGTATAATTTCTTCAGCCTTGTGCCTTTTCCTCCAGAATAGGGAAGAACCCTCTGTTGGCCTAATGGTTAGGAAAAAGCTGAAAAAAAAGTTATTATGACTGGCATCTAGCTCTGCATATGTTCTATAGGTTCACTTCTCATTCTTTGAGTGATTTTCACATTGGGGTTAACAGATGAGGAAACTAAATATTCAGTAATAAATATTTACTCTAGTGGGAGTCAGACTCAGCTCTTGGAAAGTGAGTGGGAGTACTCTTGATCAACTTCAAAGGGACTTGGATCGATTCCCTTATCCTGTGCTGAAAAAAGAGAGGCTTTTTGTATGTTCTCAGTTACTGTGTGTGAGTTCAGTGCTGTGGATTTTCTTGGACCTGTTCATACCAGTAACTTTGGTGAGGAGGTGCTGTGTTGTACGTTTGGATTTCATAAGAACAGGGTACATACCTTTTCTTCATTTTGCTTGAACTTGCTACCAGAAAAGCCATATTTTTGAAAGCGAAGCTGTGCTTTATCCTAAATATTGTTTGTGTAACCTCTTTGGGACTTGAAAAGTGAAGAGCTCCTGCTAAAGTCGGGTATCTCAGTGAGAACATTTGAAGTCTGCTGAGAACTGCAAAGCAAGCTGTGTGATTTATAACCCTATGATAAGGTGTGCTTTCAATGTAGTTTTTCTGTGTGGGACATCTCTGTTTACACAGGATGTCTGGGCAAGTCTCCTGGCTTCCACATTTCATTGGTAAGAGAGGTGTACAGGCAAGTCATAAGAGTGTTTTACTTACTACTTTAAGTACTTGCAGGCATTAATAATATTGGTAAATAGTTTCTGTTGATATTTAAATAGTGGGAATTGAAGGATTCCTTGACATTTTTGTCAGGTATATTTGAACACTTCTCAGGAGCTGTTGTAGGACCAGATTAATTTGTGATGGAGGAGAACAGCAAAATGCTAGACAGCAAAAAGGCATGATGACCCAATTGCACTTTTAGTAAAAACATCTGTCTCAGAGGGCATTTTTGATTCTCAAGTGTCAGTGGACTTACTCATAGCAAAGATAGCCCTGGTTAGAACATGTGTCACCTTTTCAAATGCAAGGTTGCTCCCAACACTGCTTTTAACTTGTGTGTTTGTAGAGGAGATGGCTTTGACTCATGCGAAGAACCATGTTAACCAAGTTAGTGGGAAGGGGAAGGAAAAGACTTTTTCCCACATTTCCAGTATGAGTTGTTTCTCTGCCAAAAAAACCTGGCAGGACAGAGTTTTCTTTTCTACATAGTGTTTTGACTCAAATTCAAAGCAAAAGCTCTGAGTAATAGAGGAATAGGTTATCAGCTTCATTTAAATAATGCTAAACCCAAGGATTATTTATTATATTTAAATGCTGTATTTTAAATTCAGATTAAATAAATGATATTCTGTATAGAGAATGATCCACCTAGTCTGTCTGCAGCACTAACAGAATGGTAATGAATGTGATTTTTTCCAGTGAAAAGGTACACTGATTCTAATGCCCTGATTTTAGTTTCCTACAATTAAGTTGTCGATGATTTTGAGTATTCCTTTAAAACTCTGCTCCTGACATATTTGGTCACTCTTGTTCACTAGTGTTTAATAGCTCTTAATTTTCAGAAGTAGTTTCCTCTTGCATTCTATCCCTGAGGGAGATGTGATCATGTTTTAAGTTCCTTAACGCTTGTTCCATCCTTGAACGTGAATTTTTTTGTGAATCTGGCATTAACACGAGGGCACAGGTAAATCTTTTTTTTTATTGGATCAGGTAGCCAATGAAATATCTTCATCCTGGAACACAGTACTGTTTTTTTACTTAAGCCATAGGAGGATGGGCAGTGAGATTACCAGAAGTTGTCTGAGTGATTCTAATGGGATGGCAGCTTAGCCTAGGTTGAGTATCTGCCATGGTATCCAAGCTGAGCGTTCTGCTCTTTGTGAGGAACACAAGGGAAGCAGAGGAGAAGGACACAGAGTGATTTATTTTCCTTCACTGTTGGACTTTTGCCATGAGATAAAGCTTGCAAAGGTAAACTTGCAGGAGCCTCAGCAGCTGTGGGAAGGTTTGCCAGCTGTGGGCATCAATTTCAAGTGAGATGCAAAGCAGTTCTTGATGTGGTAAGCAGTTTGGAAGAGCTATGAGGGAGAAGAGAGATTTCCTAACTCCTTTCACTTTTGACCTTTATGCCTTAGTAAG